GGCAGGATGTGAGGCCTGAGAAGCCAGGCTCTTGAAACTGTCCTTCCAACTGGCTTCCTGGGGAGAGAAAGTCAACACAATTACAGCTGGTAGTAAAATCAATATGTCAGAGTTTTAATGGGAGAGTGGGCAGAGCAGAGCTTTGGCCCCAGGAGGGAGCCAGCTGGAGGGGGAGGGCGCATCCTGCTCTCAAAACAGGGCCAAGACCAGCAGTGGTTGCTCATCCCATGTGAGAGAGGGATAAAGTGAGGTTTTTACAGGAACTGAAGCTAGCAGCTAGTGTTGCCTGGATCTGAATACCCTCCTCCCTTTGTTGCCACATGCAGAGTAGGCATACGTTTCCCTCAGTTCTCCAGCACCCAGCATGGCTGTGTTGCTCTCAATCACTCCACTTAGACAGAAAGCAGCTGAATACAGTCACTCACACTTTAGTCAAAATTAGGTTCCTTTCTTTTGTAAACATTCCCTCCAGAGCACAGGTTCCATGCTGGAGAATGTCATGCATGTGCTACCATGGGAAGTGTGGGAGTGGTGACCAGCACAGCGCCATCACAGGAGTTGGGGGGCTGAGCCACATCTTGAAAACCGGCCATCTGGGCATGCCTGGAGAGGGAACAGCATGGGTCCAGACACGGGGCGCTGAAGTGCCAAGGGGAGTTCGAATGGCTCAGAGGCATGGGACAGGCATTGGCTGCTGAGGGGACATTTACAATGGCACAAGAGCCCCAGGTGTGAGGTGTGGGCATGTTCCAGGACCTGCCGAGACTGATGTGGTGGGCACAGCGGGTGGGGCAGAGGGAGGAGCGAGACTGGAGGCCTGGGAGCTGGCAGGAGCTGGGGCACAAAGGCCTTGAATGCGAGGCTGGAGAGCTGGGGCTTGATCCCAAGGGCAACCGGGAGCCGGTTTGTAGGTGGGGAGGGTCTGACCAGCTTTGTGTGAGGGAAAGATGGCCCTGTGACTTGAAGGGCGCTGCTGGGATAACCGAGCCTTCCCTGCTCTCAGGAGAACTTGAGTTTGGAAAGACTCATGCTCATTAGCCTTGAACGAGGATGGTGCTGGGGTCGGGGGGTATTTGGGGCCTGTGAGGCTAACTGCCCCTGGAGACCGAGTTCAGCTGAGGCCAGCATGCTCAGGACGTCTGGTCCCGAGTCCCGTGTTCCCCTCCCCCGGCCTGCATCCCCCTCCCCCAGCAGGGGCGGCACTTCCCGCCAGGCTGGGCTTCCGTTTTTGAGCCGGTTTGCCTTGTGATTTCCCCTGGCAGCTGGGGAATCAGCTTCCCCCTTGGAGCACAGATCCTTCGGAGCAGCCGACAGCTTACTTCTCCTTTAAAATTTTTTTAAAAAATTTTATTTTAGGATAAGGGAAAAAAAAAAGCTGGGGGAAAGGCTTTTTAGAAAATTCCTTCGGTGCAGAATTAATGGCTTGTGAAAGTCAGGGGCGGGGCGGGTGGGGGAAGCCGGCTCCCAGCGAGCTCCCCTGCCCTGCTCCCCTCCTCCCTGCTGCCCTAGCACATAGATCACCCCGAGCTGGGCGCCTGGTCCGCCTTTTCCCAGGACCACACCCTGGCTGGATGTCAGGGTATGCCCAAAGGTGTCATCTGGGGCCTCCCAGGTGTCCCCTTCCAGAACTTATGTTCCCTTGGTGGCAGGGGGGATTCACAATTTTAATTTTAAACAACTTATTTTTAAATGATGTAAGTAATTCATATTCATGAAAAAAGTTACCTAGCCCCTAGGAAAAGCATCCCTTGCAGTGGTGAGGAGCCCACCTCACCTCTTCCCTGCAGCTGCAGGGTTGCTGAGGGGTGGGACCCGGCCTGGTTGGGGCAGCTGGGGAGACCGCTCAGCACCCACCTTCCAGGGCTGTCCCTAACTGGAACATACACAGGATGGAGTCGGGTAGGTCAGGGCTGGTGCTGAGAGAGAGGAGGAGCCTATGATGCAACTCTCGGGAATGGCTTCCCGGGCAGAGGGAGCGGCCAGGCCAGAGGTCCTGAGGCAGGGACGAGCTTGTGATATTTGAGGCACAGAAATGAGGCCAGTGTGGCTGGGGTGAAGGAGCAAGGGCGAGGGGGGTGTGGGTTGGAGTTAGAAGATCAGGGGACCCATGGGAGGATTTAGGATTTAGGATTTATTCTGAGTGTCCTGGAAACCACGGCAGGGCTTGAACTGGGGGAGACCTGGTTTGCATTTGTAAAGGGCTCATTTGGCAGCTGTGTTAGCAGATAGGAAATGTCAGCGTGGGGGGCAAGAGTGGTCTTGGAAAATGAAGAGGGCTGGGACGGCTGTCCAGATGAGAGGATGGCTGCTCAAAAGCTTTAAGGTAGGCATGATTTGCCCTGAATTTTCTTCTTTTTTGATCAGCAGTTGAACATGGGTAACTTTTACTTAATAATAATAACATAAGCAGCAATCATGTCTGAAACACAGTACTATTGGCTAACACTTCCTGGGTACTTACTGTGGGCCATGTACTGTGCAAACACTTTAACCTGCTTTAACCGACCTGGGCCGGTTCACCCCTCCTTAGGCAACCTGGTGGTCTCCCGCTCCCGGGAGGTCACCATATTGATGCCGAACTTAGTGCAGACTCCCGATCAGCATAGCGCACTACACCCCAGAACTCCTAGACTCAAGTGATCCTCCAGCCTCAGCCTCCAGAGTAGCTGGGGCTATAGGCACATGCCACCACGCCCGGTGTGTGCGAACACTTTATTTTTTATTTTTTTATTTTTTTGAGACGGAGTCTCGCTCTGTCGCCCAGGCTGGAGTGCAGTGGCGAGATCTCGGCTCACTGCAAGCTCCGCCTCCTGGGTTCACGCCATTCTCCTGCCTCAGCCTCCCGAGTAGCTGGGACTACAGGCGCCTGACACCACGCCCGGCTAATTTTTTGTATTTTTAGTGGAGACAGGGAGACGGGGTTTCACCGTGTTAGCCAAGATGGTCTCGATCTCCTGACCTCGTGATCCGCCCGCCTCGGCCTCCCAAAGTGCTAGGATTACAGGCGTGAACAACCGCGCCCGGCAAAACTTTAC